CCCCCCCCCCCCTTCGAAGCTCAACCTCCTCGCTGGCACATCTCCCCGTATCTAGCTCTGATACCATTAATAATACCCCAAGCCCACCACTAGCAGATATTGTCCTCTTTGAGCTTTCCCTTTCGTGCTTCCCCTCAAGGTTTTTAAAATACGTCTGTTAGGGAGAAGTTTCCACACCCTTATAAAGATTGCTTCGTTCTCCTCCCCAACTGATTTTATGGCTTGAAAGCCTCGGGTCTTTTAAAGATAAACATCGGAATATACGCTCCTTCATTAAGTCTACTTCATAGTCAATTAAACATAAGTATAAATTTTAAGCCATACTTTCTTCCTCAATCGACTTTTCCTAGCAGCCTCACGATTTTGAGCTAACCGACGAAGAGTCTGCGAACGATTATCAAATTCGTTAGCAACACATCATTTCAAGAACCCAGGAATTAATTAGAAAAATGATCCAAAGAACACAACCTTCTGATCAGTTTTATCCTTTGATCTGTCACTAGAATCCGAAGCCATAACAAGTGTTAGGGCCCGATCGTTAGACTGCAAAACAAACGGAAATTAGTCTATGGAAACGACAAAGATCGAATTTTCATGAACTAGAGAACACAAGTTATCCAGGCCTGCATCTCAAAATGCATATCATAAAAGGAATTCTGTATATCAAATATAAACGCCTGAGCATAAACACTGAGGATGATGGGACCGAGTCGTGTGAAATGAACGTGCAGTAGTACATTACCCTCCGACTTTTTTCGTCTGTGTCCCCATCTGTTGAGATATCAGTCCTGGGACTGCCCTCAGTAGCCATAGAAGCCTCTTATCTTTATATCTGTACGACGAACCGATATGGCAACCTGTTGTGATCGAACCTAGAACGAACCAAGCTCTGAAACTCACAAAAAAAGTGGAGGTGTATCAGGTGAATCTGGTGAACCTGTAAACAACTATCCCGACCTTCGTATTTTCAGAAAAACAAAATTATAGTTTTGTCTTCCATTAAATCGACACATTTCTAAGCTTTCGTCAACTTGTTTCCAGCAAAAAGCATCTGAATATCAGTGTATACATAGAAATAGCAATCATTATGTACATTCCACACCCTAATAAGGAATGTTCAGGAACCACAGATATTGTTTGCTTTGGCCCGTTATGTATCGCTATCAGCCTCATGGTTCTAAAACGCGTCTACTAGAGAGAGGTTTCCACACCCTAATAAGGAATGTTTCGTTCCTCTCTCCAACCAATGTGGGATCTCACAATCCACCCCCCTTAGGGGCCAGCGTCCTCGTTGGCATACCGTCCAGTGACTGGATCTAATACCATTTGTAACAGTCCGAGGCCACCACTAGCAGAAATTGTCCTCTTTGACCCGTTACGTATCACCGTCAGCCTCACAATTTTAAAATGCATCTACTAGGGAAAGGTCTTCACACCCTTATAAGGAATGTTTCGTTCCCCTCTCCAACCAACGTGGGATCTCACATAACAAATCATTTTCTTAAGCTACCATAGAAACCGAAGATTAGGACATAGTTTATTTGATTGTACTCTTCCTAGCATGGGGTATCTAAAGATGAAGAATGTATTAAAAAAGAAGCCAAAACACAACAGTTATGTTTCAAGTTCTCTAAGTAATGCTCGATACCAAGAGAAGCTTACATTAAACAAACCCCCACGAGCGAATGGCGAACCACTTGGCTTAGTAGCTTCCTCTAAACGACAACCATTTGACCTCTCACATATCCCAAATCAGAAACACGATAAGAACGGATCGACAGTCTTCCCGTGCAACTGAAAATAACAACCCATCAATTCATGACTTCATCCATCAAATCATAATTGGTCCATTAAGGCATCTTTTAAAGAGCCTTTCAAACAAAACCACCAATGGAAACATGTTATGAGACAACAAAATGGTTAACATAAAATATCGACCATGAAAAAAGAACCGAGGGCGTACGGGGTAAGGTGTAAGCCAGTAAAGGAATCATATAAGCGATGCCGATGGTTCGAAGAGTATCTGCAATCCCTGGTTTCTATCAGTGAATTGGATCTATGGCTCAGATAAACCAGTTCATAAGGATAAGCATTCGTTCTTTAAATTGTGTTTGCTTTCTCGTCATTTCACTACAACGAGCTTCGTCTTTCTTAAGAAAACATTTAAATTCTCAATACGTTCTCGTCATTGCTCTACAACGAACTACTTTGTTTCGTTTTCAATACGTAAAAAGTAGCTAACAAAACAAGGAAACTCGTAAGTGAAAGCTTATTCGTAGGCTTAACTCCAAAAAACCAAATGGTTATCAAACGGGACCTTCAAATACATACTGCAATATCAAACCCGAGCAACTCGGAAAGAAACACTAAATCTAGAATACGTCGAGTTTCAAATTCGATTCTAACCTCAATCCTTGAAAAGTAGCCAAAAAACTCCATTGCTCAACAGAACTTTAGGTTTACCAATGGAAGAACAACCAAGAAAACCAGCTCCGGTAACATATTAGAAGGTAAGAGAAGAACAGGTAAAGAACAATACAGATCCACGCGAACATTACTCCAACCATCACAATGAACAGCAAGCATTCAAATCTAAAGAAACATTCAAACGATTTATGAACCCAAGAACATCAGAGAAGCTAAGCAATTAGAAAGAGGTATCCACTAAATCGTCAACGGGGCTACAAAAATGACCCATGAACTCATAGCTAAGCTAACGCAAAGAAATCAGTGATACCCACGATTTCCCTCAACACTGCAAGTCAAATAGAACGAAACCCAGATGCCAAAAATCAAGAAAACCCCAAAAGAATCGATCACTGACAGCAGAAATGGTCGAAATCAGCTGAAATTTGCAGGTAAGTGAAGCAAAAACCTACTGAAAAAGTTGCGGATGATTGCCAGTTTCTTGCTCGAACACACGCACTCACGCACTCACGCACTCACCTGGGCAGCTGAGGAAGAAGACGACAGCGCTGCTGTGTGCCTACTGGTATCTGTGTGGGTGAATCGAAGGGGCGGGGCCTGGGGGCTTGGGGGTTTGTTCAAGGCCACGCCAATCTCCAGACGAACCGTTGCGTGAAAATGTTCCACTTTTCAAGGACTAATTGCCTGTAATTTACTGTTTTTTTATATTTTAAGGATTTAGGCCTTTTGAGGTGATTTGTCTTTTAGCCTTGGAAAGTTTTTACTTCGGCTTCCTTCTAAGGGTGTCAGAAGAGAGGCGAAGAAATTCAGCACAATGACACCCCAATTTTGCTTGTCAGTTTAGCTCACCGTGTCAGTAAACCAGCAATAATCAAATTCATAAATTCATAACAATATTGTCCACCATTATCGACTCACGGCTGCCTCAATCTTTATGGTTTGATCAATTTTTTGCAAGTTTTTATTGTGTTCTTCAGAGAAGAATCTGACCCAGATTCTAAGTTTTTGTTTTTCTTTCATTCTAAACCCAAAGGAATTAAATGATTGGGAGTTGAAGTTGTTGGAGTTGTCTCTGCACAAAATTATTGTTCTTGGTACGAGACACAATCGTGCAAAGTTAGTTCTTAGTCTAGGGTTGAAAGAATTCAACAATGAGATTTGAATCAACCAATCAACCTTTCGATTGTATTCTATACTCAAAATATATAAATAACGATTAAAAGTATCAAACACTTGCTCGTGAATTCATAGTTTCGTCAAAAGTGACTTGTTGTCGAAAGATGCTTATGCAGGGTTGAGAGATCTTCCTCCAAGAGATCAACTAAACTAGGGCTACTCGGCTTACCCCTCGAGATATAAGGACTACGCCTTTAAAGTGTTTCATTTTTTTTTTAAATTATATCCAAAAGATATTTTAAGTGCATCAACCTTTTCTCTTAGGGGTCATAATTAAATAATTATTTCTAACCAACTTTATAAACAATTCAAGAATTTGATTAGAACGTCTATGATTAACTCCGTACTTCAATCAATGTTCAATAAATAATTAAGAAAAAAACACATACGTTTACATCAATCCATAACAAAAATATTTGGCATGGATTATTCATTATATTACATGAAAAAAAAATTAAAAGTTCATAAATATTTTAATGGGTATATATAATTTTAAAAAAACTGCCAGACTATAATTTATCAAAACCTCATAAATAATCTCGAAAAACTAAGTCGTTAAAAATAGTAGAACTAATTCTATTATTTAGAACTATATCTGTCTCTAAGTAGAGACTTGAGTAGACATTGTCATGGATAAAACCACGACAATAGACAAACAAGGACTCCTAATGGTCATAATTTTCATAAAAACTAGGCCAAAAGGTAAAAAAATGTCTATTATTTATAGACAAATTCAAGTATAATGAAGAATGAGAGGTAAATAATCAGCCAGACAAGATGTAAAAGCTTCAAAAGCTTCAATTCAAGGAAGCTGGAAGTGGTGCTTATATAAAAATAATATTGAATGCCCTCCAAATTGAAGGGGTCAGTAGTACAGAAATTATAATAAATGAGCAACCAAAACATTGCCTGCCTGTATATAAATAAAAATCTTGAAAGAAATCAGTGTTAGTTCCTCAAAGATTCATAATATTGCAGCGTAGTTGAAAGGAAATGTGCTTACATGTGGCTGGGTCGGGTTGGGTTGGATGATGTCAAGATTCATCGTTCATATGTTGTGCATGCCATTTGTTGAAACCAATGACAAGGGCATCTCTCATCCACGCGTGCCTGCAGCTTTCAATGGCCTCAGGAATGGTCACCCAGCTTCTGTTTCTTGTGTTCTGCTCCGGCCATGACTCAAGCTCCTCATTCACAAACAAAGCATACATTGCTGCTCTACACAATCCTTCTGGACTGAACTCATCTTGCTGTGTTTTACTCTTGAAGTGATAGATTCCTAAGAACCCCTGAACAAAGCCAACAGATTTTACACGCCACTTCTTCGTGTCGGTCTCCGAGAGGATAAACAAACGAACATACGGACATAAACAAGAAAGGCAGTAAACTATTCTATCAAAAAATGCAACATTCAATAACATCCTACACCAGCCGCTAGCAAATATTACCCACTTTGTCCCGTTAGGTATCAAGGTCAGCCTCACAGTTTTAAAATGCTAGGAAGAGGTTTCCATACCCTTATAAGGAATGTTCATTCTCCTCTCCAATCGATGTAGGATCTCACAACCCAACTCCTTCGGGACCAGCATCCTCACTGGCACACCACTCGGTGTCTAGCTCTAATACCATTTGTAACAACCCATCGCTAACCGATATTGTCTGCTTTGGCCCGTTACATATTGCCATCAGCCTCACGGCTAGGGAGAGGTTTCAACACCCTTATAAGAATGCTTCGTTCCCCTCTCCAACCAACCAATGTGGGATCTCACATATGTTAACCAACGACAAATTAATGCAGATATAACATCAAAACAACATGACTCAAGAGATAAGAGGCTCAAGAGCTCTCCCTAGTCTCTCCGAAGTGTGCATTCATGCATATCTACCAGCCACGGTAATAGAGGCTCAAGAGATCCTCCGCCTGGACCGTCCACTTCATTGCGTAGTCCTACAGAAAGCTACTAAAAATGATACACCCCTCAACACTCCTCAGCATTCCTCTTCCAATCATATATATACGTTAGATGAAACAACCTTCAATTTTCACAAAAGGAAATGAGAAAAAACAATTCAAGCATTTAAAGTACTATTTCACCATAAGTTCACCACGAACTCCGGCCTCTTCGATAGCTTCCCTTACAGCAGCCTCCTCCACCGTCTCGTCATTCTCCCAGCCTCCCTTTTAGAGAAAATGCTGATGGTTAGAGATAAAATAAGCTCATATACTTTCTTCATATGAGAGAAGCAGAAATGAGAGGGAAACAACTTCACACCTTCGGGAACAAAAGACCCGGGCCACTAGGCGTGTCAATCATAAGCACCTCCACGACTTTATCCGAAACTTCATCACTACTCCCTTCGGAACTTCTATACCTAAAAGGAATACACCTACAAAAGAATAGAAAGGCATTCATAAACTATATCTGCCACCACATTGATTGATCAATCATTTGATTCAACTGCATTTCATTCGTTTAAATAAAACATAAAACACAAGCAGCCCGGATGTATAAAATGCAATGCAGAAGGGCCATAGAGATAAATTTAAAATGAGCCATCTCTTATTAACTACAAGAAGTCATTGAAAGAAGTATAAAAGAGAATGATGCAACTGAGTGTGCTCAAAGATCATGATGTTATTCCATTTATGCAGATTTAGTCGTATCTTTTTCTCACGTCGCTTGAATCATCAAGACTGGATGAAGAGGGAAGAAATTATTGATAGCTTTATGGAAGGAATATAGATGGCCAACTTTCCATCAAGTCATCAAGGATGTGATTGACTTCAGCCAAAGCCAATGCACTAATATCAAAAGTCATGAATCTGCTATCATAATCTGTCGCTGCTAGTTATGACAGACAAAAGGACATCATCTTTCCAGATGGTGCCAACCCAACCATCATCTGTCCATCCATTCACCACAATTAACCACGCTGCAAAGGAGATGAAGCACCCTGAGTAAGAAAAGAAAGATCGGCCATCTCTCCCTATCGATCAAGCTGCTTTACCGAGGTGAATGAGGTAAGATCAGCAGAGCGAAAGAATAAATAGATTCACGATCAAATTAGTTTCCCCTTTCCTTCCTGAAACTGACCTAAATCCTACTAAGACGGATTCATTAATGCAATGTGTCACCAAAGTACTTTCGTGACAGATTACATTCTGGATACCCAACCACAAATCAATAATCTGGCAGAACTTCAGCACTCAGGTCTCGATACACAGATCATTAAAAATAAAGAAGAACTCAAATTTATGCAGACCTGTAGGAATGTAGTTTAAACCGAAAACAACCATAGAGTTCCTAATCGATTAAAGAACCGACCAACGAATCAAAAAAACACCAATACCGAAACAAGAACAACAGTGAAAACCAAAGCAGTCAATATCTATTACGTGGTAAAAAAAAATGACAATGGCGGCCTCATTTTTCACAAAACTTCGACAAAGATGGTCAACGAAAACGACTTGGAAGCAAGGAAGGACACAAACATACAAACATTAAATAGCTGGAGTCTACGAATCTTAAAAAATAATGGTGGGAATATACCCAGCAATAAGGCGACAACCGGCATCGTACCGCTGCTGCTGCCGTCCGGTGCGGGCCACCAAATCAGACATGCATATAAATATATGTATATAAACTATCGTTCAGCGGGATCAAAACTCAGAGACGAATGCGAATGCGAATGCAAAATCCTGCACATCCCTAAAGCAGGGGAGAAATTTCAACATTGTCCATTTTTCTCTCAGAATGGACGGTTGAAGGCAATCTGAAACTCCATTGAAGAGTGGCGATGAATGACGATTGATGGTTAGGGTTGGAAGGTTGGAAGAAAGAGAGAAACAGAGATGGAGATGGAAGGTTGCGGCTGAAGCGGATCTAGCGGTGGGGTCGGGTCAAAACAGGGGAGAGATTAGGATTGATGGTGAAAAGAAAACCAGTGGGTCCAGAGGGGAGTTTGCGGGAGAATCCGGTGGGTTAAGAACCAAGGGAGATTATATATGGAGGAGAAGATGACCGTTGAGATCAACGGGCAAGGGTAAAATGGTAAAATGAGTGGGGATGATCTGTTGGATGGAAATGCGAGAATTAGGGTTAAATTTGAAGCAGTCATTCCTCATGGCCTGGATTACGTGGGCCAACTTTATTAATTCTTATTTTTTCTATTTTTAGGAATTAATTAATATTTTAATAAATATTAAATTACAATATTAGACACAACTTATTCCAATTTTATATTTAATATATTATAAACATATTCAATTTATAACTAATATATCATAAAATTTTACATTAAAATGAACAAAAATTTGGTTAAAATACTATTTTTTTTTTTTTTTTATTTTAGTGAATCGACTCCAACTCATCTATAAAGAACTTTCTTTTTTTTGGTCGGACATATCTATCCATCTCGAGTCTCGTCTAGATCGATTCGGGAAGCGCGCAAGAGCTATAGCTAGTGAGAAGAGGTCTTGAAGATTTCACGGATCGAATTCCAATCTTCTTCTTGTTTCAATTCCCTCTGCCCTTTTGCACTTTGAAGCATGTGACGGGCACCAGTGCTACCAGAGATACGATACTTCCTGATACTGTATTTGAAGCCATTGTTTGAATTCCTTAGGATATGCAAGTGAAACAAGTTCTTGCAAATGGGAAAAGGGGCGGTTTGAATGTGGGGTTGTTCTTATTTTACCCGAAGGGTTTGAGTCATCCCACTATTGGGATTAGAAATGCAAACACATAGCCTTGGGCGCATGGCTTGAGTATTTTATGAAATACTCAGTCACCCCACTATTGGGATTAAGAATGCAAACACATGCAACATATGAGCGGGACCTAACTTTTCATAAACTTTACATAGCCTTGGGCGCTTTTCTATTCTGGGTAGGGTTGGGTGTGTGGTACTCCTTCACACACGGCCCATGTACGTGTACATGGACCCAGGCTCGTAAACATACCCCCTGGGCATGACTTGGTCGAACACAACATGTTACACGTGGCCCATGTACGTGTACATGGACCCAAGCTCGTAAACATACCCCCTGGGCCTGACTTGGTCGGGCACAACGTGTTACACGTTGGCGGACACCACAGAACAGAAAAGGGCCCGCATGATATCATGGCGAACATAAATATCGTATTTCATTTTTTTGTAACGTAAAGAGGAAGAATCTCGATGCACGTGACATACATATATGCATGAGATCCCTTAACATATCTAACATGGCATTACATAAGCCGTGCTAACAATCGCATTTACGTTTCTTACATCACATGGCATCTCACATGACTTACATTACATGACATATTACATAACATGAAAGTAAATCTCATTTGCATAAACATCTCATGACATGACTCGATAGTACAACGTGTATCCATGACATCAATCAACATTTTCATGGCATATATTACTAACATATTATTCATAACTTCACATAACATAGACAGTCAACAGTCAACATAACTCATTACGTTTCATAGCATAAACAGCCACATAATTCATACATCATTTAGTCAAATCACATAATAAAACATGGTGCATGCAGGGGTCACAGGGCACGCACCATCATACAACACGTAGTAAACTAACTCCAACAGTAAGGTCACTTACCTCGATGGCCTTGGTTGAAGTCACTCACAACAAGCTAATCCCAACCGTTAAATACGTCCTATAATAATCACATCAAAACTTAGGAGCCTTTCATAACATACCCTAGCTAAATCTCATACTATTTATCAAAATAAACTCCCGACCTAATCTGTCTTTATCGTTTATGAACCATACTGACCTCGGATGGTAAAACTAAGGGCAGAAACGGCTTCGAAAGGGTCGAAAACCATGGAATCGATATATTATAGTGATATCGAGCCACCAAGCCGAGCTACCGAGCTGACAAACTAAGCCGCCAAGCCGAGCCGCGGGAATTGACGAAACCGAGCCGATTTCGTACACATGCGAGCTGGCCGCACTGTGCATGCGAAGCTGCCGGAGCTGTTGGGTGTGCGTCTACGGCTCAACCTAATTCCAAAAACCTTGCCTCCCTTACCCGAATTCCGGTGACGCGCCGACGATCCCATAACGTCCTCAACACCGATTTCCGACGGTTAACCTTCTTTGACACAATGATCCCAACATCAATACCTTACTTCCACTCAATTCTTCCTCTGAAAAGCAACCTCAATGTTCCGGAGGAAAGTTTGGAGAGAAAATTGTTATCAAGGTAAAAGGTTGGGCATAAAAATATAAAAATAATCACAAGACATTTGATAGGTATGGGTTTTAGATTAGGCCTTTCCCAATAAAGCATTCTAGGGTTTTAAGATAAGAAAAAGAAATAGGAATGTTTCTATTAAGTAATAAAAGTCTCGCAGAAAACTAGTTTTCTCTCCATTTCCAGGATATCACATTTAATTATTTCTTTTATTTTTATTCGATTAAACTTGAATAGTTACATTTTCAATTAACGTAATAACTTCCTGAAAATTGCACCTTTTTCGGCAAGGATAGATGCATAACCTAATATCTTGTCATTTATAGAAATAAAAATAAAATTTTAACTAAATAAGACAAAATGGAAAATTTGAATAGTTACATGTCCAATACAATACATTCATCTCTGCATCTCAAAATTGGGTAAAATACACAACAAAACCCTATAAGAATCTCAAATCTCTCTTCAAAGACCATCCTGCCAGAAATTGATGTCCATAAAACCTGGACTTTCCAAAATTTTGCCTGTTTTCCTCCTGAAAAAAGAATATATTCATGACCGAGAACGCAAATGTGAGAACGATATGTGCGAAGTCGAACCAAACTAATATATGTTGTGTTGAATTCAAAACGATAATCAAACTGCAGCAGAAGTAACAGAAAAGGATTGATAATGCATTTACACATTTACAACGTTCATTCATGGCAGTATGGAAACATTCAACCCCTGAATCAGCTCTAAACTTGGAAGCAACTTGAACGTAGTCACCAAGAATGTTCCCATTTACAATATCATTGCTAACAGGAAGTTCATGTTCTTGGATGAATAACATCTTAGACCACTGAGAAAGAAGAAAAATGCTAACCTAAAGTTTTGGGTCGCATTACGAGAATCTGGAAGAAAAATGGTGGGGTGTGAAGAATAGAGATTTCTTTGATTTTAAACTATCCTGCCTCCCCCACGAAAGTTGTCCTACTCCTTCCGAACCTATAATTCCTAACTCATAGTATTCAGTCTTCACCATAATTGTGAGATCCCACGTCAATTGGAGGAACGTGTGTCAACGAGGACAGTGAACCCCAAAGGGAGAGTGGATTGTGAGATCCTACATCGGTTGGAGAGAGGAACGAATCCTCCTTTATACGGGTGTAGAAACCTATCCCTAGCAGACGCATTTTAAAAACTTTAAGAGAAAACCCAAAGAAGACAATATCTATTAGCGGTGGGCTTGAACTGTTACAATGATCCTCCAAAGAACTTTATCCTACTCTTAAAAGAGAGTAACTGGAGGTCGTTCGCAGAGTAAGAGAAGACCAAACTAAGTTGGCACCAACTCAATCCTTTAGCGTGTAGACCAACGGATCCACAACAGAGGACAGAATTAAAGAGGAAGTTAAGATCTCCATTTTGCTTTTCACACTGTATATTAACAAAAGAACGAAAAAAAAGACAGCCTAGTGAGTGAGGAAGGGGAAAACCCCACCCAAAAGGTCAAGTGGACTACACGTACGAAGTGTCCTGTCTTCCAATGAAGTCATCATCAGAAAGCTTTTCACAAATATAACTCCATCTTGGATTAAAGTTAACCAACAGACTACTATTCCGAATCAAATGGGGATTCCCCATCTTCTGGCTTGCCCTTATATAGATTTTCATAGTCTCCAGTCAGGTTTTGGAAGGAATTAGATATCAAGGAAAGAACAGGATCTTATTCATTCTTCTATTTGAATTCAGTTTAACCATTTTGGTTAGGAAACCACTTCTTTTTTCCTCAAGAATTTCTCTATTTAGAGGACAAGGCCTTCACTTCTAACTCTTGGAAGAACTTGTGGCTGATAGGGAGATGTGTAGTACCTAGACACCTTTAAATGTTGTATATGGAAAGTATTTTCCTTCAAGATTCCTCTCATAGCTCAAATCCCACTTCCTCTCTATCTCTATCCTTTCATACTCCACTTTATTTTGATTAACCTATGGGGTTCCATCTCAATGGCCAAGGTATTTGATTGGAAAAGATCCATTACAAAATCCAGACTTGAGTCTGTGTCTCAAAAGTCCTTCTACACCAATTTACTCCCGACATTTACCATTTAGAAAGTTTAGTTTGAACTTTTAAGCCTCAAAGATCTAAACTATCTTCTGCGAAGTCTTCACCTCTACAAACCAGATAGTTTCATACTAGATATGGTTCACCTTTAATGTGCACTTCCAACTAAAGAATTTTTCCCAATATCACAAGCATGTTGACCATAAATGAGCAGCCTACTGGATCAATCAGAGCAGCAACCACAAAAAGAGAAGGGGGATAGCACATCTCCTAAACTAAAGCATCGAGATGTTACAATTTCCTCGAGGTTTTTTTGTATCAGACCAAACCCCCGCTAGCAGATATTGTCATCGGCTTTCCCTCTTGAGCTTCCCCTCAAGGTTTTTAAAATGCGTCTGCTAGGGAGAGGTTTTCAAACGCTTATAAAGAATGGTTCATTCCCCTCTCCAACCAATGTGGGATCTCACAATCCACCCTCCTTCGGGGCCCAGCATCCTCGCTGACACTCATTCCTCTCTCCAATCGAGGTGGGATCTCACATTTTTTCATTTACAAAAGCTTTATAGTTCCATGATTTTTGGTAGGTTATTGGATCTCGTACTGTAAACATGCTAATAGAATAGGACAGGGTAATCTACCAGAAGCTCCAATGACCCACCAAAAGTCGATTAATTACAGTATGAACTCAATTGTAGTTGATTCTTATTGGAACATTTGATGTTATGGGGATAGTTTTAAGTATATCATTTCTTAAAATTAAGCATCATATTAGTTACTTGATTCTTGGCAGGCAGTCTCGTGCAAGTGGGAACATTCCTAAAAGATCTAAATGCTATAACCTTCTTCACGGGTCTTACTGTCAGTGAATAACAGTTCTAAGATATGTGAAATTTCATAAGTTTTACACACAAACCTACAATCTTCTCACAAGTGAAGTGCACAGTTTTTACAGAAGAGACGAATTACCTGAATTGCACTCCAAGCGTTTATAAAACTGCCATCTTCTTCTGGTACATCTCAAGTAGATGTGGATCCTCAGAAAGATACTGCATCACAAACTTCACCAAAAACTTATCCTCGCTAAGCATAAATGCTCTGCCAAAACTTGTCTTCTTGATAAAACCTTTTGACATCAGGTGCTGAAGAATAGACGACCTCGGAACCACCCTTTTTTCAAAACTAAGATAAAGTACAATTGGGTACCTGGAAATTTCTTCGTGCGTCCAGTCCAATTTGTTCATAAAGAAATCCAAGGCCCTCTTTATTTTCTCTTCAGACGAATTCATAAACGTGGGCTGCTTGAGAAATAGAGATTGAAACTGCTCCTTTGACCACCCAAAACTTGTAAAAATATGCAGTTTCGATAACCATTTGTCCTTTTTCATCCCTGAAAACGTACACAGCCCATAAATAAACATCGGACTCGAAGGATTAAAACCAGCTTCCTTCGTCTTCTCGACGATGTCACTGAACTCTTCCGCATCCCTTGCTAGTGTCCTCGGGCGCACCCAAAAGATCTTCGCGATCTTCGAATCAGGCACGCCATTAGCTCTCAATAGTTCGATATTGGGAGCCACAGATTCTGAAAACTTGCGCAAAACCCAAGTCCCACGCCTAGCAGAAAAGAGCGAGACTATAACATCAGTAGAGCCAAAAAAAATTCTGAGAAAATCAATACACGGAACAATCTGCTTCTTCAAACTCCTTCTAAGAATTTCCGGATCCCTAGAGATCACGTTGACGAGAACATGACCGGTGAAACCATTTCGAGAGAGAAACTCAAACTTAGGTTTGAGTATTGTGTCCGGATCAGCAAGGAGGAGATTAGGATTTCTGCAAAAGATGCTGGCAGTATCGGACAGTGTGAATCCATAGGCCTTGAAGAGAGCAATGACAGAGTCGGGATTTGCAGTAGTTTTGAGATGGATTCGCTTCGCAGCGGCGAGAGCTGAGTCCTTGGAGAATCCAAGGGTATGAACAAGGTAATCGACCGTCCGATTGTTGGTTGATTGAGAGATTTCAGACAGAGAAGAGAGGAATTTGCGGGAAATTGTGGTGTCGTTCCCTGCAAACTTCTGGAGATCTTGAGCAAAGAGACGCAGAGGAACTTTGAACAGAAAATTGGTCATTGAAGAGTGAAAGAAGAGGTTGCGAAGGCGGGATTCAATCGAGGGTTGCGTTTGGACGTCCCGCTCTCCAGTTGATACAGTTTTTAATTTTTAGTTGAAATTTAAAAATTAAATAAATAAAAACAATTTGTCTATGTTTTTCCAATAATTTGGCTCTGACTTTAAAACGCTTATGGCAAGGGAGTTTCCACGGTCGTTACAGGTTATTTATATGATATTATCACAACCAAAGTCTCATCCAAAATACTCCATAAAATAGCTATCAAGTCGGGTGAAGAGAGTCGAGCCTATGAAGGAGTACGGGGATGGAAATGGCAGTGTAGTTGTGAAGGATACAGGTGCGAGCAACGGAAGGATTGTTCATGCAGGGTTTGTAAGAAGGCTACTGATCACGCTCACATAGCTTAGACAATGCTAAATGCGAGATCTCACATCGATTGAAAAGGGATACAAAGCATTCCTATGTTCAATTTATAACTAATATATCATAAATTTTTACAATCAAAATCAACAAATATTTAGTTAAAATATTATTTTTTTCTATCTTTTTATTTCGGCGCTGCAACTCATCTGTCGAACATATCGTCTCGAGTCTCATCTAGATTGATTCGAGAAGCGCGCAAAAGCTATAGCTAGTGAGAAAAGGTCTTGAAGATTTCACGAATTGAATTTCAATCTTCTTCTTGTTTCAATTCCCTCCGCCCTTTTGTACTTTGAAGCATGTGACCGGCATCGGTGTTTCCAGAGATACGACCTCATGCTACGAGCTATTCGAGTCATCCACTCTGGGGTAAGAGTAAGTCTTTGACAGATTTCGAGCAACCCCAAAGATTATAATTCCTAAAATATAATGAATAATTTGAGCTAATTAACCATCAGCAGGTCCAGAACAATACATTCATTTCTGCATCCCAAAATTCGGTAAAATACCCACAAAAAACCGCTCAGAATCTCAAATCTCTCTTCAAAGACCATCCTGCCAGAAATTGATGTCCATGAAACCTGGACTTTCCAAAATTTTGTCTGTTTTCTTCCTGAAAAAAAGAATATATTCATGACCGAGAACGCAAATGTGAGTACGATATGCACGAAGTCGAAACAAACTAATATATGGTGTGTTGGATTCAAAACGATAATCAAACTGCAGCAGAAGTAACAGAAAAGGATTGAGAATGCATTTACACATTTACAACGTTCATTCATGGCAGTATGGAAATATTCAACCCCTGTATGAGCTCTAAACTTGGAAGCAACTTGAATGTAATCACCAAGAATGTTCCCATTTACAATATCGTTGCTAACAGGAAGTTCATGTTCTTGGATGAATAACATCTTATACCACTGAGGAAGAAGAAAAATGCTAATATGAAGTTTTGGGTCGCATCAAGAGAATCTTGAAGAAAAATGGTGGGGTGTGAAGAATAGAGATGTAACGCCCTAATTTTCTCTAACCTAATTAGCGTCGTTACCTTGTACTTGTATAACGAAAGTACGAAAGTTTATGTAAGACAGTCTCAATAACGACAATACGTTCATACCTGGGGAAAAACAATAACAACAGCCTAACTAAGAAATAATCAATAGATAACTAGAAGAAATAATTGCAATAACTATCATCGGAGGGAGTCCAAACAAGGAGTCCAAACAAGACGCCTACGACACTACAAGCCCTTCCTAAAACTTCCATGGCCTTCGCAGCGTTCACCGTCAGCCGTACATGGGGGCCTTGCCCTTACCTGAAAATGTAGGTAGCACGTAGCTTGAGTATTATATGAAATACCCAGTAAGTCGCCCCACTATTGGGATTAAGCATATAACATACATTAGGATACATGCGATCGCATACAATACACATACATAAGCACAAGTGCTAAAGAAAGAAAACGAGAGGGGGCCTATCTTCCATTCCTTCCCATGGCCTTAGGCCCTTGCTTTGTCCGGGCGGGGTGGATACATGGTACTTTCCCACACATGGCCCACATGCATGACTGTGGACCCACCAGGCAAGTTCGCATGCAAACTCCCTGAGCCTGGCTTGTCGGGTACGTATGACATACAATATCGGACACCACGAAAAAGGAGGGTCTGCATGATATCATAGCGAACATAATATCGAACGTACGCGTCCGTACCATCATTAGCATAACGGGGAAGTAACCCCATGCACGTAGCACATAGCGTGCATGAGGTCCCTAAGGTTTACCTCCATGGCATTATACATACAACGTTCCATCCCCTCACCGCATTACATAGCATAACTGGGTTAAACAACGGATAAGCATATCATAGCCGCATTACATAGCATAACTGGATTAAACAACAGTAAGCGTATCGTAGCACACTAGTCATCACATTCATGGCATGCGGAGTTCTCATTACAATCGTGACACGTCAATCAAGCTCATGCATACAAGGTAGCAAGTCATGACATAAACATCACATACATGGCATACGTAGCATTTCACTGCAAGAAACATATAACCTAGCATACATCAACAACACACATCGTGCATGCAAGGGCCACAGGGCACACACCAACATACATACATAACTAAAACCAACAGTAAGGTTACTTATCTCCTTGACCTTAGCAGAAGTCACTCGCACCGCTAACTCCGACGCCTAACTACCCCTATAAGATCATATGACACGCTTAGAGCCATTTCACAACTAGCCCTTATGCCTAGCTACCAAGGTACGTCCCTATCACAACTTGTTTTATAAAAAATGGAGTTCTATTGACCTCAGATGGTTGAAACAAGGGTAGGAATGGCTCCAGAAGGGTCGGAAACCTAGGAATTGGTATATTATTCGTACGTCGAGCCGCTAAGCCACACTGCCGAGTCGAGCCGAGCCTGGAGTGCAACAGAGCTGCCGACGAAGCTGAAGCCGATGGGCTGCAAAGACCACTAACGGCGCAGGGTTTCTGGATGCGTCTAGGCATCACTGGTTTCGGGCCGAAATGGGACGCGGCCCAGTGGTGGTGTCGGCTGAGACGACTCGCAAAATACCCGACGAACCGACCCGCGCCCGTGTCGCCAGTGGAATCGTCATCGTCCGTTCGTCCCTGATGGTGCGTCTGTCCTTCCTTGCCCTAACGTACCTCAGCGTTGGTTTGCTCCTATCTAAGGACTCACAGAAGTCCGAAGTCTCGCGACGTTTTCGATTCCTCACCTAAACCTTTCAGCTCCTCCCTCACAGGTACAACAGTGACTCAAAAAGAAAAGACGGCTACTAAGGTACCTAGGGTTTAATATGGGGACTTAAGGCATTAATACGCCCTTGCTGGCAAGACATGCCTCACCGGAAATACTATTTCCAGCGAGATTTAAGGCGGTTTTTTTTTTTTTTTTTTTTTTTTTCCATTTTGAAACCCTTATCGTTACAAGAGATTTCTTTGATTTTAAACTATCCTACCACCCCCACAAAAGTTATCCTACTCCTTCCAAACCTATGATTTTAAACTATCCTACCACCCCCACAAAAGTTATCCTACTCCTTCCAAACCTATAATCCCTAACTCATAGTATCAGTCTTCACCATGATTGAGAGATCCCACATCAATTGGAGGAATGAGTGTCAACGAGGACAGTGAACCCCGAAGGGGGAGTGGATTGTGAGATCCCACATCGGTTGGAGAGAGGAACGAATCCTTCTTTATAAGGGTGTGGAAACCTCTTCCTAGTAGACGCGTTTTAAAAACTTTGAGAGAACTGTTAGCGGTGGGCTTGGACGGTTACAATGATCTTCCAAAGAACTTTATCCTCCTCTTAAGAGGGAGTAACTGGAGGAGGTTGTTCGCAGATTAAGAAGGCCAAACTAAGTTGACACCAACTCAATCCTTTAGCGTGTAGACCAACGGTTCCACAACAGAGGACAGAATTAAAGAGGAAGTTACGATCTCCATTTTGCTTTTCACACTGTATTATTAACAAAAAGAACGAAAAAAAAAGACAGCCTAGTGAGGGAGGAAGAGGAAAACCCCACCCAAAAGGTCTAGTGGACTACACGTACGAAGTGTCCTGTCTTCCAATGAAGTCATCATCAGAAAGCTTTTCACAAATATAACTCAATCTTGGATTAAAGTTAACCAACAGACTACTATTCCGAATCAAATGCGGATTCCCCATCTTCTGGCTTGCCCTTATTTGGAAGGAATTAGATATCAAGGAAAGAACAGGACCTTATTCATTCTTCTATTTGAATTCAGTTTAACCATTTTGGTTAGGAAACCACTTCTTTTTTCCTCAAGAATTTTATTTAGAGGACAAGGCCTTCACTTCTAACTCTTGGAAGAACTTGTGGCTGATAGGGAGATGTGTAGTACCTAGACACCTTTAAATGTTGTATATGGAAAGTATTTTCCTTCAAGAATCCTCTCATAGCTCAAATCCCACTTCCTCTCTATCTCCATCCTTTCATACTCCACTTTATTTTGATTAACCTATGGGGTTCCATCTCAATGGCCAAGGTATTTGATTGGAAAAGATCCATTACAAAATCCAGACTTGAGTCTGTGTCTCAAAAGTCCTTCTACACCAATTTACTCCCGACATTTACCATTTAGAAAGTTTGGTTTTAACTTTTAAGCCTCAAAGATCTAAACTATCTTCTGCAAAGTCTTCACCTCTACAAACCAGATAGTTTCATACTAAAGATATGGTTCACCTTTAATGTGCACTTCCAAATATAGAATTTTTCCAAATATCACAAGCATGTTGACCATAAATGAGCAGCCTACTGGATCAATCAGAGCAGCAACCACAAAAAGAGCAGGGGGATAGCACATCTCCTAAACTAAAGCATCGAGATGTTACAATTTTCCTCGAGGTTTTTTGTAACAACCCAAGCCCACCGCTAGCAGATATTATCATCTTTGGGTTTTCCCTTTCGAGCTTCCCCTCAAGGTTTTTAAAACGTGTGTGCTAGGGAGAGTTTTCCACACCTTTATAAAGAATGTTTCATTTCCATCTCCAACCGATGTTAGATCTCACAATCCAATCCCCTTCGGAGCCAGCGTCCTAGCTGGCACTTGTTCCTCTTCCAATTGATGTGGGATTTCACTTTTTTTTTTTTTTTTTTTTTTTTATAGTTAAATGATTTTCGTTAGGTTATTGGATCTCGTACTGTAAACATGCAAATAGAATAGGCCAGGGTAATCTACCGGAAGCTCCAATGACCCACCAAAAGTCAATCAATTACAGTATGAACTAAATTGTAGTTAATTCTTATAGGGACATCTATGTTATGGGGATAATTTTAAGTATATCAATTTTTAAAGTTAAGCATCATAATAGTTGCTTGATTCTTAGCAGGCAGTCTCGTGCAAGTGGGAACATTCCTAAAAGATCTACATGTTATAACCTTCATGGGTCTTCTGTCAGTGAATAACAGTTCTAAGGTCTGTGAAATTTCATAAGTTTTACACACAAACCTACAATCTTCTCACAAGTGAAGTGCACAGTTTTTACAGAAGAGACGAATTACCTGAATTGCACTCCAAGAGTTTATAAAACTGCCATCTTCTTCTGGTACATCTCAAGTAGATGTGGATCCTCAGAAAGATACTGCATCACAAACTTGACCAAAAACTTATCCTCGCTAAGCATAAATGCTCTGCCAAAATTTGTCTTCTTGATAAAACCTTTTGACATCAGGTGCTGAAGAATAGACGACCTCGGAACCACCCTTTTTTCAAAACTAAGATAAAGTACATTTGGGTACTTGGAAATTTCTTCGTGCGTCCAGTCCAATTTGTTCATCAAGAAATCCAAGGCCTTCTTTATTTGCTCTTCAGACGAATTCATAATCGTGGGCTGCTTGAGAAATAGAGATTGAAACTGCTCCTCTGACCACCCAAAACTTGTAAAAATATGCAGTTTCGATAACCATTTGTCCTTTTTCATCCCTAAAAACGTACACAGCCCATAAGTAAACATCGGGCTCGAAGGATTAAAACCAGCTTCCTTCGTCTTCTCGACGATGTCACTGAACTCTTCCGCATTCCTTGCTAGTGTCCTCGGGCGCATCCAAAAAATCTTCGCGATGTTCGAATCAGGCACGCCATTAGCTCTCAATAGTTCGATATTGGGAGCCACAGATTCTGTAAACTTTCGCAAAACCCAAGTCCCACGTCTAGCAGAAAAGAGCGAGACTACACCATCAGTAGAGCCAAAAAAATTTCTGAGAAAATCAATACACGGAACAATCTGCTTCTTCAAACTCCTTCTAAGAATTGACGGATCCCTAGAGATTACGTCGACGAGAACATGACCAGTGAAACCATTTCGAGAGAGAAACTCAAACTTAGGTTTGAGTATTGTGTCCGGATCGGCAAGGAGGAGATTAGGATGTCTGCAAAAGATGCTGGCAGTATCAGACAGTGTGAATCCATAGGCCTTGAAGAGAGCAATGACAGAGTCGGGATTTGCAGTAGTTTTGAGATGGATTCGCTTCGCAGCGGCGAGAGCTGAGTCCTTGGAGAATCCAAGGGTATGAACAAGGTAGTCGACCGTCCGATTGTTGGTTGATTGAGAGATTTCAGACAGAGAAGAGAGGAATTTGCGGGAAATTGTGGTGTCGTTCCCTGCAAACTTCTGGAGATCTTGAGCAAAGAGACGCAGAGGAACTTTGAACAGAAAATTGGTCATTGAAGAGTGAAAGAAGAGGTTGCGAAGGCGGGATTCAATCGAGGGTTGCGTTTGGACGTCCCGCTCTCCTGTTGATACAGTTTTTAATTTTTAGTTGAAATTTAAAATTTAAATAAATAAAAACAATTTGTCTATGTTTTTCCAATAATTTGGCTCCGGCTTTAAAACGCTTATGGTGCTTATGGTATGGTAAGGGAGTTTCCACTTAAGGTATTTTGTTCTCCTCCTCACTCAAGGTGGGACATCATAATCACCCCCTTTCAGGGCCCAGTGTTCTCGCTGGCACTCGTTCCTTTTTCTAATCGATGTGAGACCCCCTCCAAATCCACTCACTTTGAGGCCCAACGTCGTTTCTGGCACACCGTCTTGTAACTACTCCCTTCGAGGAACAGCGAGAAGACTGGCACATCGTCCCGTGTCTTACTCTTATACCATTTGTAACGATCCAGATCCGCCGCCAGCAGATATTATCCTCTTTGAGCTTTCCCTTTCGGGCTTCCCCTTAAGGCTTTAAAACGCATATGCTAGGGGAACGTTTCCACACCCTTGTAAAAGGGTGTTTTGTTCTCCCCAACCAATGTGAGGGTCGTTACCGGTTATTTATATGAAAATTATCACCCTAGGAAACTTCAATCAAAACCTTACCCAAAATACTCCATCAAAGGTTATTTATATGATATTATCACCCTAGAAAACTTCAACCAAAATCTCACCCAAAATACTCCATCAAATAGTCATCTAGTCAGGCGAATCGATTCGAGCCTGTGAAGGAGTATGAGGATGGAAATGGCGGCGTAGTTGTGAAGGATACAGGTGCGAGCAACGGAAGGATTGTTCACGTAGGATTCGTAAGGAGGCTACTAATCATGCTCACGTAGCTTCGACAATGTTAAATGTGAGATCTCACATCGGTTAAAAAAGGGAACAAAGCATCCCTATGTGGAAATCTCTTCCTAACATACTCGTTTTAAAACCATGATCTCTACGTAACAGGCTAAAGCGAACAATGTGCACTATATGTTGGGCCTTGATAGGGTGAATTCTGAGATTTAATGGGTCAAAACGAACAATATGCGCTAGATGCTGGGTCTCAATAAATGGATTACGAGCCCATGTATTTTTAACAATTTTAAGACCGTGAAGCTGACAAAAATGGGACAGGAGCGAGCCCTTTTCTAATATATAAGTTTAAATTTGCATTTATATTCAATATGGAATCTCACATATGTTAACCAGATATAACATCAAAACAACGTGACTAAGCTTATTCTTTCGTATATTTCCCCAGTTTGGACATTTAAATAGCTCTCCCCAGTCTCTCCGTAGCTTGCATTCATGCATATCTACTAGCCATGGTAATAGAGGCTCAAGAGATCCTCCGCCTAGACCGTCCACTTCATTACGTAGTCCTACAGAAAGCTACTAATAATGATACACCCTCAACACTCCTCAGCACTCCTCTTCCAATCATATATATATATATATATATATACACACACACATACACACGTTAGATGAAACAACCTTCAATTTTCACAAAAGGATATGAGTAAAAACAATTCTGGATCATCCAAGGCACATTAGCATGGCGTACTTCTCCCGTTTGAATTGAGGTTTGAAACCAAACTTCTCCTCAAAAGGATAGATGGGTCGATTCAGGTGAGATCCAACTTTCTATTCACTCGTGGGATCCGGGCGGTCCGGGAGGGACCACCTCGGCTCCTCTCTTCTCGAGAATCCATACATCTCTTATTAGTATATGGACAGCTATCTCTCGAGCACAGGTTTAGGTTCGGTCTCAATGGGAAAATAAAACGGAGCACCTAACAACGTATCTTCACAGACCAAGAACTACGAAATCGTCCATTTCATTCTGGGCTGACAGAGGGATCGTACCATTCGAGCCTTTTTTTTCATGCTTTTCCCGGAGCTTCCCTTACAGAAGCCTCCTCCACCGTCTCATCATTCTCCCAGCCTCCCTTTTAGAGAAAATGCTGATGTTAGAGATAAAATAAGCTCATATACTTTCTTCATATGAGAGAAGCAGAAAGGCAGAAATGAGAGGGAAACTTCATACCTTCGGGAACAAAAGGCCCGGGCCACTAGGCGTGTCAATCATAAGCACCTCCACGACTTCATCCGAAACTTCATCACTACTCCCTTCCGAACTTCTAGACCCAACTGACACTCTAGATAAAGGAGGGTCTACCAGACCTAACAACCTAGAGCTCTGATACCAAACTGTAACGACCGCTCTCCGACGCATCGAATCACAAATGGCTACGTGGACTCTAGGATAAAAAGTCTTACGACATTTTCATTTGATAAAACGGGAGACACAATAAAATTAAAGTTATCTGATAAGCATTAAAAATCCAAATAGTTCCAAAACATAACAGGATTTGCGGAAATACATCAAAAGAAAATCAGTTACAAAATAGCATAAGTTTTCCCAAAATAAACATCAAAATGACATTAAAACAACATGGACAAAGAGGACTCGATCTAGGGTCTCAACTATAGCCGCACAGCTCCACACGTTCCCGCCACCGACATTGGTCTACTTAACACCTGAAAAATAGCAAACATGGAATGAGTATAAAAATACTCCGTAAGCATCCTACTTGTAGGCTCTTATCGGACTTAATCTTATTCACGGAAAACTTTGGCTATTAGCTCGAATCTATCTCTAGCAAAGTCTACTATGGTCTCAAAAGAAGACCCCATGGATTCTCATTGATATGGATTTTCTTCCATACCTAACTATCTACTTAGCTTAAATCAGTGGATTTTCCCCTAGTGGTGTCTAGCCTTAACTACCTGTTCCTGAGAATCAGTAACTACCTGTCACTACGCCCCGCCGGGCTGGGTCAGTAAACTACCTGTCTCACACCCCGGTCAGATTTAGATCAGTAAAAGGCCATGGCTCTTCCCGCTAGGCACCCCTGACGTGGTACTACAGTAGGATACTTACTAAGGCCACCCATATCCACAATAGGTGACAACTAAAAGACGGTAACTCATAATCTACGAAATTCATAATTCACGCTATCTAGCACATAGCAAAATGGCCCAATTCACAAATGGGCAATAATGTGCTATCCACAACCCAAAACAAAGCAGAACAAAGTATCAAGGCTCACACCATACATATCATGCAAATCAAGAAATAACAAACTATCTCGACTTCCTAGGAAACACATAATAAACCCAAAACGCCTATCAAAGAAATTTACAATAATGCATGCGGAAGCTATATAACCCTAACTATAATCAAGGTATAAACACTCACGATATCGAAGTACCATACATGAAATTAATGTTAACCAAACTCCTAAGTATAATACTAGATCATTTGCCCATACTCCAAACCGACTTCTACAAGCATTTCTTAGAACTTGCTCCATGCAGTTACTTACTTGTTGTAGACTTCCCGAGCTTGTTTCGGGTCTTCAACAAATTTCCAATTCGTTCAAAGATCTACAATTAGGTCCTACATTGAGAAAATATATCAAAACTATAGAAGTTGAGTAGGATTCGAGTTAAAATAATACAAATTTGCGAGCATTGGCCTCTGAACCGTGGGTCATGCATAGCTTCGAGTCTGATTTTGGGGAGTGGATCGGAATCTGCTAATTGGGTCGGGTCGGGTCGGGTCGGGTCAGTGAGTCGATTTGGTCCAATGGTTCGATAAATCCAACGATCAATTATCATTGCTAACAGGAAGTTCATGTTCTTGGATGAATAACATCTTAGACCACTGAGGAAGAAGTAAAATGCTAACCTAAAGTTTTGGGTCGCATTACGAGAATCTGGAAGAAAAATGGTGGGGTGTGAAGAATAGAGATTTCTTTGATTTTAAACTATCCTGCCTCCCCCACGAAAGTTGTCCTACTCCTTCCAAACCTATAATTCCTAACTCACTCCTTCCAAACCTATAATTCCTAACTCATAGTATTGATTGCGAGATCCTCATCAATTGAAGGAACAGTGAACTCCGAAGGGGGGAGTGAATTGTGAGATCCCACATCAGTTGGAGAGAGGAACGAATCCTTCTTTATAAGGGAGTGGAAACCCCACCCAAAACTTTATCCTCCAAATCTGTTAGCGGTGGGCTTGAACTGTTACAATATCCTCCAAATAACTTTATCCTCCTCTTAAAAGGGAGTAACCGGAGGAGGTTGTTCGCAGAGCAAGAAGGTAGACCAACGGTTCCACAACAAAGGACAGAATTAAAGAGGAAGTTAAGATCTCCATTTTGCTTTTCACACTGTATATTAACAAAAGAACGAAAAAAAAGACAGCCTAGTGACTGAGTAAGGGGAAAACCCCACCCAAAAGGTCAAGTGGACTACACGTACGAAGTGTCCTGTCTTCCAATGAAGTCATCATCAGAAAGCTTTTCACAAATATAACTCCATCTTGGATTAAAGTTAACCAACAGACTACTATTCCGAATCAAATGGGGATTCCCCATCTTCTGGCTTGCCCTTATATAGATTTTCATAGTCTCCAGTCAGGTTTTGGAAGGAATTAGATATCAAGGAAAGAACAGGATCTTATTCATTCTTCTATTTGAATTCAGTTTAACCATTTTGGTTAGGAAACCACTTCTTTTTTCCTCAAGAATTTTATTTAGAGGACAAGGCCTTCACTTCTAACTCTTGGAAGAACTTGTGGCTGATAGGGAGATGTGTAGTACCTAGACACCTTTAAATGTTGTATATGGAAAGTATTTTCCTTCAAGATTCCTCTCATAGCTCAAATCCCACTTCCTCTCTATCTCTATCCTTTCATACTCCACTTTATTTTGATTAACCTATGGGGTTCCATCTCAATGGCCAAGGTATTTGATTGGAAAAGATCCATTACAAAATCCAGACTTGAGTCTGTGTCTCAAAAGTCCTTCTACACCAATTTACTCCCGACATTTACCATTTAGAAAGTTTGGTTTTAACTTTTAAGCCTCAAAGATCTAAACTATCTTCTGCGAAGTCTTCACCTCTACAAACCAGATAGTTTCATACTAGATATGGTTCACCTTTAATGTGCACTTCCAACTAAAGAATTTTTCCCAATATCACAAGCATGTTGACCATAAATGAGCAGCCTACTGGATCAATCAGAGCAGCAACCACAAAAAGAGCAGGGGGATAGCACATCTCCTAAACTAAAGCATCGAGATGTTACAATTTCCTCGAGGTTTTTTTGTATCAGACCAAACCCCCGCTAGCAGATATTGTCATTAGCTTTTCCTTTTGGGCTTCCCCTCAAGGTTTTTAAAATGCGTCTGCTAGGGAAAGGTTTTCAAACGCTTATAAAGAATGGTTCATTCCCCTCTCCAACCAACGTGGGATCTCACAATCCACCCTCCTTCGGGGCCCAGCATCCTCGCTGACACTCATTCCTCTCTCCAATCGAGGTGGGATCTCACATTTTTTTCATTTACAAAAACTTTATAGTTACATGATTTTTGGCAGGTTATTGGATCGCGTACTGTTAACATGCTAATAGAATAGGACAGGGTAATCTACCAGAAGCTCCAATGACCCACCAAAAGTCGATTAATTACAGTATGAACTCAATTGTAGTTGATTCTTATTGGAACATTTGATGTTATGGGGATAGTTTTAAGTATATCATTTCTTAAAATTAAGCATCATATTAGTTACTTGATTCTTGGCAGGCAGTCTCGTGCAAGTGGGAACATTCCTAAAAGATCTACATGCTATAACCTTCGTGGGTCTTCTGTCAGTGAATAACAATTCTAAGATCTGTGAAATTTCATAAGTTTTACACACAAACCTACAATCTTCTCACAAGGGAAGTGCACAGTTTTTGCGGAAGAGACGAATTACCTGAATTGCAATCCAAGCGTTTATAAAACTGCCATTTTCTTCTGGTACATCTCAAGTAGATGTGGGTCCTCAGAAAGATACTGTATCACAAACTTGAACAAAAACTTATCCTCGCTAATCATAAATGCCCTGCCAAAACTTGTCTTCTTGATAAAACCTTTTGATATCAGGTGCTGAAGAATAGACGACCGCGGAACCACCCTTTTTTCAAAACTAAGATGAAGTACATTTGGGTACTTGGAAATTTCTTCGTGCGTCCAGTCCAATTTGTTCATAAAGAAATCCAAGGCCCTCTTTATTTGCTCTTCAGACGAATTCATAATCGTGGGCTGCTTGCGAAATAGAGATTGAAACTGCTCCTCTGACCACCCAAAACTTGTAAAAATATGCAGTTTCGATAACCATTTGTCCTTTTTCATCCCTAAAAGCGTACACAGCCCATCAATAAACATCGGGCTCGAAGGATTAAAACCAGCTTCCTTCGTCTTCTCGACGATGTCACTGAACTCTTCCGCATCCCTTGCTAGTGTCCTCGGGCGCACCCAAATCATTTTCGCGATGTTCGAATCGGGCACGCCATTAGCTCTCAATAGTTCGATATTGGGAGCCACAGATTCTGAAAAGTTTCGCAAAACCCAAGTCCCACGTCTATTAGAAAAGAGCGAGACTATACCATTGGTAGAGCCAAAAAAATTTCTGAGAAGATCAATACACGGAACAATCTGCTTCTTCAAACTCCTTCTAAGAATTGACGGGTCCCTAGAGATCACGTCGACGAGAACATGACCGGTGAAACCATTTCGAGAGAGAAACTCAAACTTAGGTTTGAGTGTTGTGTCCGGATCAGCAAGGAGGAGATTAGGATTTCTGCAAAAGATGCTGGCAGTATCAGACAGTGTGAATCCATAGGCCTTGAAGAGAGCAATGACAGAGTCGGGATTTGCAGTAGGTTTGAGATGGATTCGCTTCGCAGCGACGAGAGCTGAATCCTTGGAGAATCCAAGGGTATGAACAAGGTAGTCGACCGTCCGATTGTTGGTTGATTCGGAGACTTCAGACAGAGAAGAGAGGAATTTGCGGGAAATTGTGGTGTCGTTCCCTGCAAACTTCTGGAGATCTTGAGCAAAGAGACGCAGAGGAAGTTTGAACAGAAAATTGGTCATTGGAGAGTGAAAGAAGAGGTTGCGAAGGCGGGATTCAATCGAGGGTTGCGTTTGGACGTCCCGCTCTCTTGTTGATACAGTTTTTAATCTTTAGTTGAAATTTAAAAAATAAATAAATAAAAACAATATTGTTTTTAAGTTTTTCCAATAATTTGCTCTTAAAGCTTAAAAAATAAAAAATAAATAAAAGTATATTAGGTCATGTAACTACCGAGATTCACTTCGAGTCTTTTTTGGGCTTTCTTTTTCGGGCTTCCCTTCAAGGCTTTAAAACGCGTATGCTAGGGAAGGTTTCCACACCGAGTTTTGTTCTCCTCCCAAACCAATGTGGGACATCACAATCCATCCTCTTTCGGGGCCCAGCGTCCTCGCTGACACTCGTTCATTTTTCCAATTGATGTGGGACTCCCTTTAAATCCTAATCCATCCCCTTTGGGACCCAACGTCGTTACTGGCACACCGCCTCGTGTCTACCCCCTTCGGGGAACAACAAGAAGGTTGGCACATTGTCCGGTGTCTAGCTCTTGTACCATTTGTAAGGACACAGATCCTGCTAGCAGATATTATCCTCTTTGAGCTTTCCCTTTCAAACTTCCCCTCGGGGCTTTAAACGCGTATGCTAGGGAAGGTTTCCACACCCTTATAAATGATGTTTTGTTTTTCTCCCCAACCAATGTGAGGGTCGTTACATGTTATTTATATGATATTATCACCCTAGGAAACTTCAACCAAAGCCTCACCCAAAATACTCCATCAAATAGCTTTCATGTCGGGCGAATAGAGTCAAGCATATGAAGGAGTACGGGGATGGAAATGGCGGCGTAGTTGTGAAGGATACAAGTGCGAGCAACAGAAGGATTGTTCACGCAGGGTTCGTAAGAAGTCTATTGATCATGCTCACATAGCTTCGACAATGCTAAATGCGAGATCTCACATCGATTGAAAATGGGAACAAAGCATTCCTATGTACAAAATCTCTCCCTAACATACTCGTTTTAAAATCGTGATGCTGACAACTATACGTAACAGGTTAAAACGAACAATATGCGCAATATGCTGGCCCCGATGGGGTGGATTTTGAGATTTAATGGGTCAAAACAGACAATATGCGCTAGATGCTGGGTCTCAATAAGTGGATTACGAACCCATGTATTTTTAACAATTTTAAGACCGTGAAGCTGACAATAATGGGAGCGAGAGCGGGCTCTTTTCTAATATATAAGTTTAAATTATTGCTTATTTATATTCCATGTGTAATTTTATATTTAATGTAACTAAATTTAAAAATGGAATAAGCTAAGTGCATTTATTATTATTTTTTTATATATATAAATAAAAAATATTTTAGCTAAATTTATATATTTCATTTATTAAGATCTAAAAATTAGAGATTTAAAATCATCCGTCTAAAAAATATTTAATATATTTTTTCTGGCGAGTTTTCACAATTGGTCGATTTAATTATTTCTTTACAAAAACATAATTTGTGACGTGTAATTAATTTTAAAATCTAAATTTTATCCATGCAATCTTTAACATAACGGTTGTTCTCAAATATATGACGTCATTAATGGCATCAATTACATAAATAAATAATTTATAAATGTGATATTTTTCTTCCAAAATTCGCACACCTAATTAATTGTGTTTTTAATTATTTATTTATTTATCTCATTTGTTACCAATAGTAAATAATTATTGTGTTTGTTGTTGATGTACTATTTTTGTGGTAGTAAATAATAAATATTTTTCGTATTTATAGTTAATAGTAATTTCGACGTCAATTAATGAGCTATTAAGCTAACATCGAGTTATTTTCATAAACGATTAAAAACATGATATGTGCAGTTATGTGAATCCTCCACATACACGAATGAGAGGGTTAAAAGATTGCGCTCGTCGATGAAAGCATTGACAAGCTATCAGACACGAATGAACCATTTTTATGAAATTTTGAAGTACGTCAATAAAGTACTGGACACGGGTGTATTAATCTTTCAAAACGTAACGTTGATCAACAACTGACCAGACACGAGTACGTCATATTGTTAAACTCGAACGTACGTTAACAAGCCATTCAACAAAAAGTATTGCTCCGTCAAATTCTAAAGTATATCTATAGAGTTACCACTCACGAGGTAAAAAAGTAAGAAAAGAGACAGAAATTGACGAGCGATGAAAAGAGAGAAATATAGTAACAACGGTTTAAACCGAAACCACAAAAGTTAATGGAAAAACAGTGGGAAATAAGCTGGAGACATATCCCAAATTGACGATCGTATTTGTTAGAGAGAGAAATCGACGATGACAGCTAAATCCAAAACAGTAGGAGTAAAGGAAAAACAGTGGAAAATAAGTTAGAGAAGTTTAATGTACTCATCAGCGCCTGCCCTTGAGTTGTGGATCATCCAAGGCACATTAGTACGTCGTACTTCTCCTGTTTGAACCGGGGTTTGACCAAACTTCTCCTCAGGAGGATAGATGGGTCGATTCAGGTGAGATTCAATGTAGATCCAACTTTCTATTCACTCGTGGGATCGGGGCGGTCCGAGGGGACCACCTCGGCTCCTCTCTTCTCGAGTGGAGGAGAACGAAACATTATTTATAACAGTGTAGAAATATCTCCTTAACAGAAGCGTTTTAAAACTTTGAGAGAAAGTTGGAAATGAGGAGCCAACAGAGGACAATCTCCGCTAGTGGTGGGGTTTAACCATAAACAGATAAAAGCGAATATTTTAATTAAGATTAAAAAAAATATAAAGCGAATTAAATGAAAGTTTTCCTCTTGGGTTATGAGATATTGGTTTCGAGGACTCCCAAACACACGAAATTTCACGCTGATGCCACACATATATATATGTCGAGACGCCATTTCAAGGCGCCATTCGTAAATTGTAACTTTCGACCAATCTCTCTCTCTCTCTCTCTCGACCACGCCGTGGAAAGACAACCAATCGGCTTCATCCATTCACGTTTCCAGTCTCAAAAGTCGTCTCCTCAATCTCTGATTATCCTCCTTTTTCGTGCGGCGATCTTCAATCTACTTTCTGAATCCATCGGTGTTCTTTTTCCTTTCATCCACCGGGAAGAGGAGGACAGCTCCGGCGTTTGTTCATCGTTTTTTGTTCATCTTTGCAGTGGATACTTTACTTCACAAGCTCTGCCATCATCTAGCTGGTGTGTTGTTCTTGATGATGATAACTTGATTCTTGATGTATATGGATGTTCGGAATAAAATCAATCAATCTATCGGCTGTTAATTGGAATCAAACGTTTTAAGTTGGGAAGAAATCCTGAATCTGTACTCACTGTGCAAATCACTAATTCTGAAACCAACGTCTGGGTAAGTGAATTTTTCTTGCTTCTGTCTCTGCTTTTTAGTTTTCTAGTTCGGCCTCGACCTTTGGTGCACTGAGATTTGTTTGTTGCTCGCTTACTGCTACTTTGATCATTTTTCTTAACCAAGAGAGTTGTTGTTTCTTTAGTGGATGATTGATTCTGAAATGCAAAGATCTGTTGTGTTGGTATCTGACCTTCGTAGGATAGATGAAAATAATGCTGAGATATCAGTGATTGTTTACCAATTCGTTCTTTCAGAATTCGAAGTGATGGAACTGGCTCAGTTAGAGGCATTGTGTGAAAGACTTTACAATTCTCAAGACTCAGTGGAGCGAGCCCATGCAGAAAACACTCTGAAGTGCTTCTCTATGAATACTGATTACATTTCCCAATGCCAGTACATTCTCGACCATGCATTGACTCCTTATGCATTGATGCTTGCGAGCTCAAGTTTGTTGAAGCAAGTCACCGATCATAGCCTTGCGCTGCAACTCCGTTTAGACATCCGTAATTTTCGAGTATCTTGGCATCAACTTATTGTTTTATCAGCATGCTAATTTTTTCCTTCTAAATGGTAGTCATTAATGTTGTTTGTAGGAGGCTATCTTATCAACTACTTGGCCACCAGAGGGCCTGATTTGCAGCCTTTTGTCAGTGCATCTTTAATTCAGCTACTATGCCGACTCACGAAGTTTGGTTGGTTTGACGATGACCGATTTCAAGACATTGTCAAAGAATCTACGAACTTCCTGAGACAGGTGATAACCTATGTCATAGGTCATACATAAAGCGCGCCAAGGTGTCCACTTCCCTTCTTTTCACCAGCACAAAGAAAAAAAAAAGAAAAAAACGCCATTAATTTATAATTTCATTGGCTGTTGTAGTGGGAGGATGTCTCATCCGGTCTTCGTTTAACGAAATGTTTCTGGTCAATAAGAAAAGTATCTCTGATGCAACCACGTTAAGCAACTACGTTGAATGAATTTCCGGTTATACCATAATTGGTATCGGGGTAAAAATATGCTGCGACAATACAACGTGCACAAAAATTGAGTAAGAGGGGTTGCGGTTCACTCGACGTTCGAGGATCAAAATAAGCAAAAAATACACGTTATAGTACCTCTAAAAACATGCCAGTTACAAGAAATGTTAGGAAATGAGAAATCACTAATAGACTTGGAAAGAAAACACCAGGAATAGACTTTAAACAAGCTGAATAAAAAATGTCTGCCCAAGGAAGAAACTTGAAAACTCTTTGATTTCTCCCCAGCCATAGTTCTGATAATGTAGTTGCCTATATTCTTTTGAAATTATATTGCTTCAGTTATCATTTTTATGGCTAGTACTCCACTTAATGTCTTATGACCCTCTTTGCTGCAGGCAACATCAGAACACTACACCATCGGTTTGAAGATATTGAACCAACTTGTATCTGAGATGAATCAGGTTGGTTTTCTTATAGCTACCCTTCTTATCTGAAAATTACTCATCTATTTGGGAAAGGGAGATTTAAATGCGGATGTTTCCCTAACACGTATTTTTCTTGTAAATTGAAGTTGTAATAATAACGAATATTTTGGTGATGAGAGTAGTTGTTTGTGGAGAGTTCCATTATTCCCAGTTGGATGCTTTTTTTGGTGGTAAAATCATAAGAACGAATCTGCCACATGCCAATGTACTATTTTAATCTCTTTTGAGGCACCTGGGTGA